AATGCGTTGGAACCCCAGTTCGCGGAACTCGCAGACTCGATGGCGGATCTGGAAGCCAACTTCATGCATCTCCAATTAATGCATGAGAGCTTGACACGATTCAGCGAAAGCTTCGCCAGTTTTTTGTACGGAATGAACATGAATGCCTTCTGTGTGGATTTTCCAGAGGTATGAGACTGCTCAACCGCAATAGTCTGATCCGTATTTCACGATGATCAATTTGCTCATTCATCTCAGGCACCGATCGCAGAATCATTCCGGAGGGCAAAACAAGCGGAGACGCAAAGCGGTACAGCTCCATTGTTTAATTTCCCGAGTATGAGATATTGACACCCAATAGCAGCTGAAGCGGAGGCAGCGCAAGCGACCAATGACGCAGAAATGACTTTCATGTAAGTCGCCCGGAGTTTTCGCCTCTTTCCTTCTCCTTTTCGCTATCATACTGAACACATTCTTTGACCTTAGGACTACGGATACCTCGTTTGTCGAAAACCCACCGAGCATGATCTCTTCCAAGCCCACGCCAAGGATCCCGGCTTCTTCGCGCGGATCTACAAGAGGAACCACCAGAGGAACAACCAGAGGGGCCACTAGAGGAATGCGCGGCTCGACAACTGGGCGATATGCTACAAGAGGCTCTAGCCGAGGATCCCGGCCCAGTGCGCTGCCCCGGGGAAGAGGCATTCGGTGATCAAGAGCAGCAGTGAATGAGGACATGAGAAGCGACATGAATTACGGCAAAAAACTTATGCGCATACAGGGGTGCACGCTCTTGGCCGCTATCCCACGCGACTGGCAGGCCCGGCGAGGACAAAGTCCCGCAGACATAGGACGATCTAGGTCGTGAAGATGTTGCGATGGTGCCTGCGAAGCAGACTGCGCTGACCTATCTTGGTATACGTATACGATACTGCTTGACAAGCACAGGAAAATTGGTATACACAGGTTGTTAGATTGTGTGTTGGTAGACTAGTCTCAAGATAGCTCTTCAATGCTCAATTCGCATTGGGGACAATGTACACAACATTCTATTGTGAGGAGTGACTTTCGTAGGTGAATGGTAGTTGGTCTTGTTGCGAAAAGGTGTATTATTGCGCTCTGATGTGTTACTTCGTACATATTGGCGCAGGAGGCGATCTCGGATCAAGTGAGGATCCGGCGTCTTATCGCCGCCGGAGCAGCCGCGGTCGACCCTTGCGCAAAAAAAGATCTGACCTGACCTGCTTCTTGCGCCTCCTCAGCAACGAGACCCAGGACGTTCTGTAATTGTCTGTCTCTGGGATCATTGCTCTATAATAGTCTTGCTCTCGCATGCTCTTCATTCTATAAGCCTCTCAGGACTTCTGGTTCGTGGTGGGAAGGATTATTGCCGAAGCAAGGCTGGACAAGAAGCTCCGTCCAGACTGAATCCACCCGCTTCCGATCCCCGACAGCGGAACCCTCCGGTGGCTGGCGGAGTCTCTCCAGTGTGTCACTCACGGGCTGCTGCAACTTTTACTCTATTGCGGAGCTGATCTATTCAGTATCCCCACTGTCTTTATATTGGATCCCATAAGGTACTGTGATCCGTGTTACATATTATCAATACTCTGTCCCAGTCATTGTTTCTTGGCCTGATTCACAGACAATACTGATATGGATGACACCTAGACCTTCCCCAGTGCTGCAATGCATGGATCCTCTCTGATCTGCAGTTGACCTGCTGAACATCACCCCTCTCATCTTCTCTTGATTCATAGAGTCTTGACCTTGGCTGTGCCGGTTTGACTTTCTTGTGCTCTTTGTCAAAACCCCCTGTGTCGTGCATCGGATCCGTCATGGCGACCGTAGCGACCGTGGCCAGTGTGGTCTCTGTCTCATTGCTCTCGGAGGCCGAATTCGGCTGCGGTATGTACACCCTCTAGACCATGTATTGTCTGAAATATGGTATTGATTGCTGATATCTCTACGAAAGAGCACCTGGCCACCCAGCTAGGACAAGATGCCAACACGGCGGAGCAGTTCAAGAGCTCCTTTATCAAGGCGCATAACTCCCTGGCGGTCTTGCCCAAACCTGTGGACGGACTCATTAAGAATGCTCGTTCAAAGGCCCACGGGTTCTTAAAGCCCAAGTATATTTGCTTGACATGCTCAGAAACCTGCTTGATGAGCGAGCGACAAGCTCACACCGATAAGACGGGTCACTCATTCTGTAAGTCATCCTCGCCAAGTGCGAGGCCAACCACTGACCCTCCTAGTCATGGATTCTCGAGCTCGCAATCTCTATTGTCAGGGCTGCGGTGACTTTGTCTTCGATCATGGGCTGGAAAGACTGCGCTGCTCCGCAGCAGAAAGTGCCTTGCAAGGTAAGCATGCGCGCTCACCGGACTCATTGCCATGGGCGCTAAAATCGCACACAGTTGCCAAGAAACGTCGATTTAGCGATAGTTCAGCAGATGAGCTATACATTCGGAGCAATGCCACCAAACGTCCCTGCGCAAAACAGGGTGTCAGGGGCTTGTTCAACTTGGGCCAGACCTGTTATCTGAATGTCATCCTGCAGACTCTCCTACACGATCCAATCCTCAGCACATATTTTCTTGGAGATGGTCACCAGCCGCATGACTGTACTATTCCCGACTGTGTAGGCTGTGCAGTTGCTGAAGCATTTGCCGACTTCAACAGCATCGACAAGGCCGAAGGGTTTACTGCTTTGAATCTTCTTGTGGCATCATGGCGCTCGAGTCCCGTATGTGCACCATGATTTTCATTCTAATAGTCTCGCTAACATTTCCTGCACTGCAGACACTAGCCGGTTATCAGCAACAGGACGCTCACGAGTACTATCAATTCCTTGTGGATAAACTCCATGCAAGCACCGAGGACCACCACGAGAACCACCAGAAGGGATGTCCTTGCTTCTTCCACAAGACATTCTACGGCAAGCTCCGTAGTAGCGTGACATGCGACAAGTGTGGCAATGTCACCAAAACCGAGGACCCGATGGTGGACCTCAGCCTCGATGTACAGGTGAAGAAACGAGCCATGGGTGGTGGGGTTGGTTCGTCGACCCCAACGCTGAGTGGATGCCTGGAGAGTTTCACATCCCCAGAGAAGCTCATGGCAGGCGTATACAACTGCAGCCAGTGCAACGGGGGCTCTCAGAAGGCGACCAAGCAGTTGCGGATCAAGAAACTGCCGGCCATCTTATGCATGCAGCTCAAGGTACAACTTTCCAACCCCCACACATCCTTACCAGTCCAGACTAACCCAAAATGCCAGCGATTCGAGCACAGCGCCTCTGTCTCCGAGAAACTCGAAGGCCGGATTGAATTTCCGCTTTCCATCAACATGCTCCCGTACACGACGAATCCACACTCCAAGGTTGACAAGGCACGCTTCATGTATGACCTCTCATCCGCTGTCGTGCACAAGGGCAAGCTGGATTCGGGTCACTATTACGTTTACTGCCGCCAAGGAGACGAGGTAAGACTTCTCCCCTTGATCCTTCCAATGCACATCCGCCCCTCTCAATCCTTCATTCACCCCGGTGTTACCATCACCTGAATACTAACCCCAAACAAAAACAAGCAGTGGATGCTCTTCAACGACGACCAAGTAACACCAGTGGCCGAGGCAGACGTCCTCAACGCAGACGCCTATCTCCTATTCTATAACCTCCGGTCCCTAGCCTCTGCACCACAGTAACAACACACGTCTAGTTGCTCTCAGGCTCTTTCCTTTACATAAACATCTTCTACCTCACACCCCCTGAACCTGCCGCATCAATTCCCCATCCCGGTACATATCATCATCATCATCATCCATACCTCAATAATCCCTTCCACTATTCCCAATCCCATTCCCGGCGGACCTTTTGCTATTCATTCTTATATTCTGACTTGTAACTTTGGTGACCCACATCGCAGTCTGTTCTTAAGTGACTCCAGTTTCCAGCACCAAAATTCCTTCTGGAGTATGAAACCTGGGTCCGGGTCCATGGAGTTAGATCATTCCCCCACGTGTTGTATTGTCCACTTGGCTTTTTTTTTTCACTCAGTTCCGTGTCTACTTTTGTCTTTCGCATACACTGTATGAATGAGTTTGGGGGGCAGTGAAATTTCCAAATCGGCATAGCATATGATTCATAGCCATAGCACTATTTGCACTCGTTAGAAACCCTTTTTGAGCTCTGGTTCATACGTGATAGAAGGAGATAGGTTGGTAGGGAGGTAGGGTGGGCAAGGAAGTATCCTCTGCATGTCTTCCTTGGGGGTTTTTTTCTCCGTCGTTGTGGAGGCTATTTTGGGATATGGCTTGCATCCCGATATGGGGTCTTCGGTAGCATACCTAGTACTTAAAAACTTGAACTTGAACCCTGAAGGGAAGAAGAATGTATACTTCCATCAAAACTGGGGTCAATGTGATTGGCTTGTGGACTGGTTCCTTTGGAGCTACCGAGGTTCCAATCCGATAGCACAGTACGGTGTCAGGTGGGTGCCCGGCTAGAGCTAAATGGGTACAGTATTATTCAGGGGCGCCGCGGGCATTCAGCTACACTACGAGATGGGCGATCCGGTTTCCAACTTAACCACTACGATCAAGACATCGGAGGAACCGCAAAGACCACAGGACAGGGCAGGACAGATGGAGAAGGGTCCCATAATCCACACAATAGGGATCAGTCCAGCACGAAGCAGCCCCAATGGGACCAAGCCCACGCATATATATGCCAGCCAGACCCGATGCGGTGACTCGCTTGCATCGCAAAACCAACCCTGACGATCGATCAGGTTGTCCGAAGCCATTGTTGGGAAAACAGGCGAGAAAAGAAAAGCAGATGAAGCATCCCTCAATTTTTAAGATTTCATTTCTTGTTTTTCTCTCGTTTCTCCGCTCTCTAAAAAATTCAAAATCCTCCCCGAGTACCAGATGAGTCCCCAGTCCGAGATTTGCTTTGTTTTCAAGAGCAAATCCTAAGCCATTGTCCGAGCGGATAGGGGGGTTGTAGAGAAGTTCAAGAATTCGCGGCGATTCTCTGGAGTTGTTCGAAAGAGAGAGAACAAGAAAAGGAAGAATTCCTCCTCTCCATTTCATCACTTCATTTTGGTACCGAGCGCCCGAGCACGTGAAAGAGATCCGTCGTGAACAAAGGAAAATTGAATTCGGAAGAAGGAAGGAATTTAACGGAACTGAAGGAGGTGAGGCATTAGCTAAGGTTGTTCGGGTGGGTTGGTGTGTGCATGTTGTGTGATGTGCAGAAAATCCATGTGTGCCGTCGCCCTTTCGAACTTGTCTTCTCGTCGTTTTATAGTTTTGATTCCCCTTTCCTCCGGTGTTGACCATGTCGAGTCCATTTCCACGGTCGCAAGCAATGATGTGTATCCTCCAATCGCGGGCGCAGGTTGCATGGTAGAGCAAGGTGTATAGGTGAAGATGAAAACCAACCTTGTAGAAACCGATGTCCGAGGCCTTCTCACGGAAGCACTGACGGCAGATGTTCATCTGTAATGCATTCTCGATCAGTTCACAAGTCCCAAAGATTCGAATTGATCCAACTAAGAGTATATCAGGTGTTGCATACCCCGTACTTGCGGATGAGACCGGCGCGGTGGGAGCAGACACGGCTGTATTTTAATCGAGCATAAATCAGTCATTTGTCCATTGGGTGTTCCTTCATTTTGGCATTCCAGTTCGTCGCGTGATTCTCCCCCTCTTTTGATCGATTCTCTTCGCAGTTTCCAGATTTCAGGGGGGTTGAACACACCATCCACGGGAGCCCTTGCCGAACCTATACAATGAATCTCCGTTAGTCTCACGAATATACCCTCAATTTCAAACGGATCGCGTCGAACAGGGAGCACTTACTGGCGGGGACGGCTGTACCAAACAGACTCGTGAGTCATCTTGAATTTTCTGAGGCGAGAGAAAACCTGGGGGATGAGGTCGGGTGTTTGGGCAGGCGGATTTGTCGTCGGCTGGGCGTTGAGGGGATTCAGACAAAAAGGCTAGGGTTGAAATTCCGTTGTGTGCTTTCCTGCGCTTGCCCGGTCGGCGGGCTCGGACCACCTCGCTTGCGGGCCACTAAGCCGGTTTGGGCTGCTCAATCACATGATCACAGTCTGGTTGATCGACGGGGAATGGAGAGACGGGCGGTGAGGGCGGCGCCGGCGGGTTTCCCTCCGCCTTTCCGGGCCTCGCTTATCATCATCCTTCCTGTCACTGGCTTTGGGGGAGGAGTATACATGAGACGGCCTTAGAGAGACCAAATGTTCACGCGGAGTCAATATGTCTTGGTTTCTCAGTCAACCTAGAGCTATAATGCTCTTCATACTGGACAGACACTCTCTTGTCTGTTTTCTGATGTTGATACTCCCGAAGTCTTTTGCTGACTGGATGGCGACGACAAGCGGTGACCCGAATCATAGGCGGAATGGTCTCAACAAGTTGATGCAGAATCTGAAAATGGATGGAACTCTTTAATTGAAGGCAGTAGATATTGCTACTCCAGGGGTAGGTATTTGCAAAAGAAGATGTTACCTGTCCTAGGCAGGAAGGACAGGCTAGGAAGGCGCACACGCTACCGTGGACAAGGAGGGCCTCCTCAATCGCGACAACTGAGGGCACCGACCTCCTTACCATTGCAGGCTTCTAGTATGGCGTAAGTCTGGAGTCACGGGCGTAGTCTGTGTGTGCATGCCGATCAGCATATCAGAGTCCAATCGTGCACGATAGAAGAATGTTTGCTGAGGAACTAATAGAAAAACTAGGCTGATCTCCCCAAGAGAAGTGGGCGAAGTGGTAATCGGGGTGCTTGTTAGACTAGTTCTTCACACCCCAGATACCTAAACCCCTCCACACAGCAATATGAAGCCCTTCAAGGAAAGGCTATCGGTTGCCCCAGTCACGGGGTGCATCTCCAAGGGTTCTAGTTATACCTCGCAATAATTGTATTGGCTGCAAAGCGACCAGTGGGTGGTTATCAAGATTGTCCACCAAAAGATAGTCCGTCTGCACTGCAGTATACGAAGATCGGCATGGATCCTCAGGTTATTGATCCTCCAGACTTCGAGTCCAAGACTCCGACAACTGGACCAAACCTTCAATAGCATGGCCAAATGCATAGAAACCACCGTCTAATCCCGTATATCCGTTACGCATTGTGTAGCATGACCAAAAGGAGTAAAAGATTAGAAGCATCGTCCTTTTGATCCGAGATAAACCCGACATAGACTGACCTGCTCTGCTCGCTTCGCCGGAGACCACTTGCGGACGGGACCACCCGCTAGCTTCGTCCAAAATGGGCCTTGAAAAAAAAAAAAGCGATTGCCGTTCTCCAAGGTCAGCTGCCATTGAGGTATTGTAAGTGACAAGACTTCAAGGCCAGAATCCAGGGCCAGCAGGTCCGATTTTCGCGCCTTTCCGCAGCCGCCGCGCTTTCCCGCCATGCCATGCTAGCGGGATGCAATAATACCAATTGCCAATTCTGCATCGGGGTTTAGATTGGGGAGAGGGGGAGGGTTCGGGGATTTGACCGTATTGAAGTGTAGCTGTAACGGCGGCTTTCGGAGATTTACCCGCCTGGCCCATGTCGTTTTCTTCTTCAAATCCAAGGTAAAGCATTTTGGTCTATCCATTCAACGTCGTGGTTGTTTGGATCGATGCCGAATTGCCGACTTTAGTAGTTTCTGGCTGGTTTTGTTCTCCCGCTCCCCTCGTTGCATCCTACCTCTTTAAGGGAAGGGTTCGGGAAGTACGGGTGGAGTGCTTGACTTCTGTTGTCCAAGGCAGAGTTGAATGGGAACATCACGGCATGTTGACTTTATTATTGTTTATTGTTTATTGTTTCGGTTTTGTTAGAAAGCCAGATCATTTCTGGCTTGCAATTCTCAAGCATAGAAAAATGCTCAGAAACCAAATATCCTAGAGATCATAGATGTCCAGATCGTCCATGTGCTGATAATGATAATGGCGGGAAAGACCCAGCTTCGATCAGCCCCATAAGCAAAGAAAATCCTCCTTCTCAACAAGATACTAATTCACGTTAATTCTCCAAGGGCGTGTCTTCGGACTGACCCCGTTCGTGTTTTGCTTACTCCATTGGTTGTATCTGAATTCTCAAGGAGGAGAGAAAAAAAATCTTTTCCTTTCCAATCAAACTCGACTTGTATTAATAATACGCCCCGTCCGCATGAAGGGGAAAGAAGATTCCCGTCGTGATGAGAGCCCCAAAAAGGATCTATCGGGGACTTGATTGGATGGTGTATGGGAAAGTCGGTCGGTCCCACTTGTAATGGTTGGAAATCGACTGAATCCTGGCATACTTGAACCCTACACCCGAGTAGGGTATCTACTGTATAGCACACAGTTGAGGGCGGCAGTGCTTCGGGGACGATGGTAGGCAGCAATGAACGCACTCTTATGCATTCACCCGGTGGTGCTAAATAACATCATCCAGAAATGAGTTTGTTGGCTGTCAGCTGTCCTCGACGTAATCCGTACAGGTAGACCCTAGCGAAGGGACTCGAGATTTGTGCACACGACTCTGTGCACTGCACTAAAGATGCATGAATCTTATCGGGGATGGTCGTAGCGGGCGGGTCCTCATGAGGCTGGCAGCACGGATGGTCCAAGACGGTAATGATTGCTGCTCTGATGCCCGGCATATTGCGGGGATTGCCCTCTAGGCTCAAGCTCAACAAAGCTCAACAAACAAAGAGGCCACATCAATACTGGATGCCATGCAGGTAGCGATATCAAAGTCCCATCTCCCAGGAGCAGGTCAATATGCGAGGAATCAGCTCGTATGATGCTGCCATAGTCACCGCTCGATGACGTCAAAGCATCTTCCAGCAACCTGCAGATGATATCCGATCCGAGTTCCAGGCGTATTTCAATGAGTCATACGATGCGCATAGGTAAGCGCGTGCAGAGGAATCTCGGCGACTCGGCATCAAGTGGGAACGGCACACAATTAGGTATTAAATATTATTATTCTTGAGAAGTCAAAAGAAACGAGACGGGAAATTCCACCAGGTCATGCGAGTTGCTGGTTTGCAGAGCGGTGGGCGTGTCTCCAAGAGGAACCGGTGCGTGTCGTTTGGTGGGTTGTTGTGCTTGCTTAGGGGACTGGTCCGTGTCGGTTTCCCATAGCTTGGTTTAGTCTAGTCTTTTGGCAGCTTGGTTCGCCCGGCTTTTGAATAACATCATTTTTTTTCACCTTCTTTTTTCTTCTTCCGGTCTTTCCAGCCCTGCCTGCATGTTACCGATCTTGCTTAACCAGCTGGGACTCGGCGTGGTTGTTCCAAATCACTCTCCACTGCGCGGTGGTTTTCCCAGCCCTACCCACCTGCGAAATAGCTGCAATGAGCTCATTATGTATCAACGGCAGGGCTGTTCACAAGATGACAGCTCCTCGACGGGCTCCGTCGATCTCAAGGCGGTCAAGCCAGCCTCCCTTCCAGACTACCCGCAAGAAGGCGCTCTGGCGCTCTGGCGGAAGAGCGCGGATGCAGGTGCTTCCTTAAGTCCGTGCTAAAAGGTGACGCCAAGCCACGATCGCCAGTTGGGTTGTCAGACGAGAGAGAGCGAGCAAGAGGAACAAAGACCAGACAGACCAGACAGACCAGACAGACCAGACGGCACACAGACGCGAACAGGGCTGGGCGCCCAACGTGCGAGAGCCCCGCAGGGTGGGGTCTGTTTCCGAGGGATCACTCACTATACGCAGATAAAGAGATCGACGCTTGTTGGCGGTCGACCCGTCCAACACAAGTACTGAGTACATGAAGTATTATTAATGCAACAATGAACAACAGAACTGCCAGCTCCCTCACAATACGAGGCCGCATAGGCTCTAGAGTCTGACTGGAATCATTGGAGTCTACTGTCTATCACTTAAATTTAGACGTAGAGTCAACAGTTCACCTATCCTTGAGTCGTAAAGTTCAGGCATCAGAGGTACTGAGTCGTTGGCTTGCCTGCATGGTTGAAGATCGTCGCTAAAGGCTCACGTATCAGCTCTTCACGCCAGCACATCCATGCACTGTGTGATTGTTCACGGCAGGTACTATACCTCTACCTCTCCCCTCACTCTAAGACAAAATTGTCTTTTAAAGTGTGAGAAGCTGCATAAAGATGTCACGCTACACCAGGATGTACATAGTACCTAAATTGTCGACGATCAGACCATAGAGATCGAAATTAAGGGACTTACTTGACTTGTCAACAATCAAGGTATACTTCACCTTAGCCAATCTCCGACAATTAACAAACACGGAGACTTGGACAATGTCTATTAAACAATGCGTGTCCATGCTTGGAGTACACAGGAGCTTCTCAGATGCCTTTCATAGCTCGTAAGCAGTTTAGGATTGGACTTGCGCACCTATCTCTCCGGGTGCGGCTTCGAATCCAGCAGTGTATACATTTATGGTAGACAGTACCTAAGGTAGTTATGAAGCAGCCTGGAGCCTTGCTACACTGCCTTTAGCTCCCGTGACTCCACCACGCAAAAGTAGTATCATGCAAGGGGAGCGTTGGATGACTTCGCTGCTTAAGACCTACTCCGCGATCTGATTCGATACCGGCATTGTATCAGCTATAGGAGAGATAGGTGGCTATCGTTCGAAGTCGTATCGCTGTTCCCCACTCGTGTGAATAGCTAGCTGTCAGGATAGAAACTTGTTTTTATTGGGCCGGATAAGTAGCGTGTGAGAATATGGGCTCACTCTAACAGAACATGTTAGACAGGAGTCAGTCTTCCCACGCGGCTAGAGGCTCCCACGCGGCTAGAGACTATCGAGATCATGTCGTATCGGAACATTCCAAGTTGGGAGAGACCGGTGTCTTTCAGATTTCATGGGTTGCCGCCAATACATTAGAATGCGGGGATGGTCAGCAACTTTGGAGCACAAGTCGCCTGGAATGAACAGTCACATGAACTGAACACACTTGAGAAGTAAATGGTTCTCGGGATGTGAAGGTTGGATTATAGAGACCAGCATGCCTTCGTCCTCGGAGAGTGAAAAAGGAGGGTTCTTGCTCGCAATTCAATCCATAATCTCCTGCCAAGACAACTGTATCAATATGGTCTGTCTATATGAGGCAGAGCCAGATCATATGGAACAGCAGTCGAGAATCCCAATAAAGTGTATAGGCAACAGAGTCGTTCAGTCGCCCAGTCGCCGACAGCTTAACACCATGAGTAAGAATGAGCTAGATTGAGTAACTTAGTTCAAGGCACATGAACAATAAGCTCGGCCAGAAAGGGTTAAAGAGAGTCCGCTCTAGACCCGGCGCTAACAGTTCGGTACCTTGGAATGAGGTCATTTTCCACGGCACCGTCAGCCCGGCATGACTTCAATGCCCAGAACTCGCTCCTTCTCCCAGCTGCTCCGGCCTTCCGAGAGCCGAAGCACTCCCCAAAACCTTTGTTAGATTTTGTCTCTCCCTAAATGATCCAATGATGCCTTTTCGATTGGAAGTATCACCCTAAATCTGACTTATCATGTGCCAGCGTATTTGGTTTAACTAAGATCAAGTCTTACTCATTAGTGCTCATCATGAGTCAGGAGCAATGATGCTGAGCACAGAGAGGAGCTTAGCGAAGGACAAGTTACCAGGCGCGTACTATAACATTGCCAGTTGATCAAGATGGAAAACTCGGCAAGTCTGGAAGGGAAAGAGAAAAAAAAAAAAAAAAAAAAGAAAAGAGGAAAGTGAGAAAAGAATGGAAAAAAGAGAAAATTAAGGTTCCAGAAATGGAACTAATGATCGTTCCAGCGATCATCTAGTCACTTAGTGCCAACAAAAAATAATGCTCACTAATTCTACCGTACTTAGAGACACCTCATGATGACGAGCGGGAAGCACTGAATAAGAACAATGAAGACACACCTGTAGTAGTGAACTGGACCATTGGTAGACCAAGTGTTTCTGGATGAATCTATAGCTATTTATCCAATGAGGTACTTCCTCGTACTTACTCAAAAGCTGATGGGTTAATTAGTTTATGGAAAAATAAGAAGAAGAAAAAAGCACCGAGTGACCCCTACGTACTAGTACTAGGTAACCTAGCCCACTCCACTGCAGAGCTCCCAGTAGACTAATCCTCATCAGTGACCTTCTGCTCCACTCCTTCCGGTACCCGGTGCTCGAGCGAGGCTGTTGTTTCCACGGCCTTTCGGATTTGTTGCATGGCTATCCCCGCCAGCTCCGAAAAGGAAGACGAACGAAGACCCAAGACCCAACCAGCAACTTGAACACAGCGTGAATGTCGGTAATGATGTGTAATGACCTGATTAAAAAGTCTGGCGCAACCCTCTTGCTTCCCAGCTCTCTATTTTCTTCTCCCTTCAGTCCTTGGATCATCCATAAGCCACCAGTTGGGGTTCCCTTGAGCTCTTGGTTCTTATACTTCCAGTCCGCTCTCCCACCGCACCGCACTCGACCGTCGGTCTTTTGCATACACAGCAACCCTACTACCTCAGCTGACGACTCTCTTCCTCATTCTGGAGGTGCCGTCTCCTCAGTCTAGGAAACCGTTGTCGGGTGCCCAAGCAGGCTCGTAGCACTTGCGCTCCATAATCTCCCCTTTGTCGCATTTCGTTCTTGTCGCAAACCAGATTTAAGCTTGCGCTCATGTGGCAGCGAGCTTCCCGTGCCGCGCTCGCGGCGTCCTTCTTACTAATCTCAGTTGCGAATGCTATTCCGCATGGAGATGATGAGGGAATGCACATGGACAGCGGCATGGACATGTCCAGCCACGATTCGCAACCAAAGGAAAACACAGAGTCGACGGACGACTCGCCTATGAGTTATTTTGCCTATGGCAAGCATAGCGGCGCCATCATGGCGCACATCGGTCTAATGGTAGCTGCCTGGTGCTTCATCCTCCCAATCGGTAAGTTCTTCTCCTGCTTCCAATTCAGATCTCCATCTCGCAAGCCAGGCGCACGCGAGGCTAACAAAGAGTTTGCAGCGGTCATGCTCAGTGTCGGACGATCCCGCTTTGCCTTGCCGTCGCAATTCCTCTTCCTGGTGTTAAATGCGGTTGGAATGCTTGTCGGAATAATCTACAACAGCCAGACCCCGGATCTGTACGAAAACAACGCCCATCACAAGATTGGCTGGATCGCGACCTGGGTTATCAGCGCTCAAGTGATTATGTCGCTGATCTTCGCTTATGCCGGACGAGGGGAGACGGAAGACAGCTCCTATGAACGCGCAGCTTTCCTTCCTGTGTCGACCGATGAAATGGCCGATAGCCACGACACCTTCCCTACTGGCCCTCGTCACTCATATCGTTGGTCGAGAGATAGCGGGCAGGGAACTGAGAGAAATTCATCCTCGATCCACTGTCCAGAGTCGCCATCGTGTGCGTCCGCATCGGACGAGTACGACGGCTTCGAAAAACCCGAGGACCCTGTCCCTGACAACCCCCCTCAGTCACACAGACCCATGCGCATCCCCATTATTGACCGCTTTCTGGCCAGCCGTGTGCCGGGTATGGTGTCTAACCGTGTGCTCCGCGTCCTTTCGGTCATCTATAAGATCATCGACAGGATCATCCTGCCTTTCGGCTTTGTCGCTCTTGTGACTGGCTTTGTGACTTACGGCGGTATTATGGTATGATCATCGCTTCGATAATTGTATGAACAGCTCTCGCTGACGTGTGACACAGCGCGGCAAGGAAGTTTTCAACGGTCTTGCGCACTTCATCAAGGGTGGAATCTTCGTGTGGTACGGTCTGTTGACACTAGGACGAATGCTTGGCTGTTGGGCAGATCTCGGCTGGGCCTGGAATGTGAAACCGTCCAGCGCTATTGTTGGTAAATGGAAGGCCAAAGTCCCCACTGGAGAGTTCACTGAGTCGTTCGTGATATTCCTCTATGGTGCGAGTAACATGTTTCTGGAGCATCTCACAGGTTGGGGCGGCAAGTGGACTGCGACCGACTTTGAGCATGTCTCGATCTCCATCATGTTCTTCGGTGGTGGACTGTGTGGCATGCTTTTCGAGTCGAAACGCGTCAAGAGCTGGTTGAACAGCACTGTCTTGCAATATCCATCCCACATGAACGCTCACGCCTCCAGCGATACTGCTTGGCAGCTTCCTGACACTCAGGGCGTTTCCCTCAACCCTATGCCTGCATTGATTATCCTTCTTCTGGGCATGATGATGGGTTCTCACCACCAAGACAGCATGGTATCAACAATGGTGCACAAGCAGTGGGGCAACCTTCTCGTCGGATTTGCGCTTGCTCGGGGTGTGACTTATCTCCTGATGTACCTGAAGCCACCTACCTCCTACCTGCCTGCTCGTCCGCCAACTGAGATCGTGGCTTCCTTCTGCCTCATTTCTGGTGGCTTGGTTTTCATGCTTAGTGTAAGTTGTTCGCTGGCGACAATGCCTAAAAGCTAGGAATCAATTAGCTAACTTTTGTGCAGACACGCAGCGTGATTCAGGCCATGGAATACTACGACCTCGATGCGATGTTTGTGTTCACTGTCACCATGGGCTTGACCGCCTTTGTTATGGCCTTCGAGATCCTCTCGATCGCCCTCAAAGCCTGGGCGGTGAAGCGGGAATCCCGTCCCCAGCTGCCACCTTATCAGTTCCCCGCCTGAGTGAAAATATTATCTACGTCGTGTATCCTGTGTTTGCTGAGACGCTCTCCAAGGACACCTCAGGAGCACTCTACGGATGAGGATGCACGAGAAAGAACCACACACAAAAAAAAGATTTGCTTTCTACAGCATTATACCCCCCACGGATATCGGTTATCCTTCGGCCTGGTGTTGGAGCGCAGGATTCGAGCTCTGACGATGAACATGACCCCGTTTACCACGGCCTTTTTGCGATGAATCTTGTCTTAATGTGATTACCACGAATGAATGATCTGCTTGAACCTTTCAGGCAATAATGAGGAGGATATGATGGCCATTTAGTTAGCAAGTTGATACCTGACAATCAAGGCTTAATATATGAACATTTAGTACAATGTGCAGAATTGGTCCCGACTTGTTTTGAGTTTGACTCGGTGACGAGATATGTGAAGTATTTTCATAAACATGTTTGAGACTTGCCCTGCTGCCGGGCAATTGTAGTTATACAGAGTAGCTGTACAGATGCTAATCCCGGGGCTAAGCCGATAAGTCCGAAGCCTACCAAAGCTTAGCCAAAAGAAAAAGAGTGGGCAGGAAAAGAAAAAGAGAATGGCGACGGTTGGCCCAACATCGGCACGAGGAACTTGCCGCCTCGGCAATTTGGCAAGTGGCCGGTTGAATTATCACTGTCTCAATTCTCTCACATATGAATGGTTTCACAAACAGAGAAACATGTTTGATGTTATAGTCAGTTGCTGCATCACACGAAATGTCGAAATTCGAAGAGAACAGACTGCAATATGCTGCTTTGCGACGGAGATTCTAGAGTCGATCCATGATGTCAGGTGAATTCGAGGATTAGTAAGGGCCACGCCATTCGGCGGCTTGCCTAATATAACCGTGGGAACCTTTCCCTAGGAGGGGCAACAGGTGGGGGGGCAATAGAGGGGAATCTCGAAGCCACTGCATGCGCAAATTACTCCAATTCGGGGCAAATTCAGGGTATATATCCAGCCGTATCTCACCCTTTGGCTTTCCTGATATCCAACCATTTTTCATATCTTAGTATCTCTTTCAGAGCATCCACCCTTCTTCCCCCCCTCAACCTTTACACATCACAATGGCGTCCAACCCTCCCGGAGCTTGCTGTGCCCAGGGCTTCAAGCACGAAGGCACCCCCGTTGGTGAGGTCAAGAATGTCAATGGCGGTAGGTTGTCTTTACCAGGCTCTTGTGTGCAGAGAATGATCCCACTGACAGGGTCTATGCTGCAGTTGACTACTACATCACCTACCCCAAGGACAACAAGACCCCCGAGAAGGCTGTTCTCTTCCTGAGTGACGTTTTCGGTCTCTTCAACAACGCCAAGCTGCTCGCTGATGAGTACGCTGCCAATGGCTACCTTTGCGTGATCCCCGACCTGTTCAACGGCGACGCCATCCCCGTCGCCGAGATGGAGGCCGGAAAATTCGACATTGGCGCTTGGTTCCCTAACCACCAGCCTGCCAACGTTGACCCTATCGTCGAGGCTGCCATCAAGTACGTCAAGGGTGACTTGGGCGTCAAGAGACTTGCTGCTGTCGGCTACTGCTTCGGTGCCAAGGTGAGCCCTCACTTCAGTGATGAGCCAGTCGCTGTACATTGTAGACATGCTAACAGTATAATGTGCATTAGTACGTCTGCCGCTTCATGAAGGAGGGCAAGGTCGATGTTGGCTTCAATGCCCACCCCTCTTTCGTTACCCACGAGGAGCTCGGCGCTATCACCGGCCCTCTCTCCATTGCTGCTGCTGGTAAGCTTCTATGCTCTTGTAGTGGAGCCCTCTCGCATCCTAATTCGTTGCTAATTCACCCCATCTTCACACAGAGATCGACACCATCTTCACCACCGAGCTTCGTCACGAGTCCGAGGGCACCCTGATCAAGACTGGTCAGCCCTGGCAGATCAACCTGTTCAGCGGCGTCTCCCACGGCTTCGCTGTTCGTGCCGACCTTAGCAACAAGCACTTCAAGTGGGCTAAGGAGCAGGCTTTCTGCCAGGCCATTGCCTGGTTCCGCCAGTACCTGTAAATGCTTAAATGTACTGTACATAATGTGGGCCCGGATGCCCTTAGAATTTCCATCATTAGTCAATGAACAGACATGAGTAATGACAGGCTTGAGTTATGCTGTATTTCTTTATAGACGCCTGCAATGGTCGAAGTAAGTTGAGAGTAAGATCGAGCATCTTTGACAGAATGGATTGTTCCACGTGACCCCGGTGGTTGGCGCTGGGAAAAAGGCCGTCGGCGAGAACAAGTCAGCGTTTACTGTCCCGGAGCGAGAAGAGCCAACAAACACACTTGAGGAAGCACTGCGCCGGTGGACTTCTCCTTTCCCCTGACTTGCGGGGCAATTGCGCTAATTTGTCGATTGTATGTCCCCCTTTGCTTCGTGCGGGCTTGATTGCTGGCTTCTTGCGACCCTGTCGCGTGTTTACCTCTCATCCCTCCCCCGTGGCGTGTCGGGCTGACGAAAGCAGTCATCTTTTACACCCTTGATCTATCGCTACACCTTTCCAAACGTCGACTCCCGCCTCAGCTCGGATCACCAGTCTCTCCTTGACAGACAGCGTCCACTACCGAACCGATCCACTGCCCCCTCGAACGACCGTGCGCTTGACGCCTGCAAAAGTCTCGACCGGCCCTCATCCCATAGAGACAACATTGGTGTCTAAATCTCAAGCCACACGGTCTAGCTCCGACTCTGTACTTTAATATAATAATTTGTGATCTACAACTCGAATACCCAACATCATGGCTACTCCGGCCGCTCTACCGCCACTGCCGTTCAACCCATCGAGGGTCCGGTCCTACATTCTTCGCCTCCCTCTTTTCACTCGGCTTGTGCTCTTAGCGATCATCGTGTTCTGGTTACTCGAATTGCAGACGGTGTGGAGTGTGAAGCAATGGGGTTCGCTGATACCAGAGGAAATCAACATTGGCACCAGTATGAACAGCCTCCAGACTCTTGCAAGGAGTACACAAGGACAACGTACATCTGACATGAGAACACAGTGTATCGACTTAATACATACCCATTCATCCACTTCGGATTTTTCCACGCCTTCCTGAATCTCCTGGCTCTCACTCCATTGCTGGAGCGGTTTGAGGCCGAGCATGGCACATTGACTGCAGTCGCTCTGTTCTTTGGCCGTAAGTCAAATTCAGCCCCGACCATACTCCGGCTTTGTCGCTGCAGCAGAGACACTAACTGCGGTGACTACACATCAGCTCTTTCGACTTTTCCGGCGGGCGCGTATATTCTGATCGAGAGATTCGTCTTGCACAGAAATACCGAAGTGTTTGGTGCTAGGTGAGTGACTCTGGCCTGGTATTAGGGGTCCTCGAGGGGCGTCTAACAGATCTTTCAGTGTTTGGGTCTTCTTGCTCTTGGGGTCAGAAGCCATAAGAACCTTCAAATCCAACCCGTACTTCAGGTAGGTCAAAGATTTCGCAAATTATGCATTGACCTCTGAACTGACGATCCGTCAGCCTTGGGCCGTACAAGATCCCTACGTGGACCTCCCCCTTGTTTGCTTGTGGCCTGGTCTCGATTTTCGTCCAAAATGCGAGTCTCCTGGGCCATCTCTGCGCCATCTTCGTGGGTTATCTGTGTAAGTACTCTGCCTTGTGCACCTGCTTGCTTCTGGTTTCCACTTTTCTGACGGACTGGATTAGTCGGTCTCGGGTACCTGAAAGTTTTCGTCCCCCCTGAGAAGGTTCTGAGATGGATTGAAGGGAAGTTGAACCTTCTGGGAAGACTGCCACACTATGTCTCGGTGGACCAGAAGACATTTGGTCGGTATGGTGTTCTTCCGACCACGACTGCCGGGGGCGAGAGGGCGACTCCCATGAGCTATCTGGGCTCCTCGCAGCGTCTGGGTGCTTGAGAACTTTAATAGACGGGTTATCCTCTAGCCTATCATTCTTGTGCATATATTATACATTCTGCTATACGTGGGTTTCTATGTAATGTGTAAAAGCTAGTTATGGAAGGAGTGAATATTGTTTAATGCGATTGCTTGGTGTCAATCATATCAACAATAGTTAACTTAACTTAGCGGCTGACGTAAATCCGCGGGCTGCTCTGGCCAAATCGCCGCCGATTGATGGCTCCGCACCCGTTCAGCTGTAGCATCAACAACTCTTCCATGGGATGGAGTCCCTAGATGTCGCAACCTCCATGGCTCTAAAATGTGAGTATGGCTTAATACTACGGGCACCAGTGAGAAGAGTTTCTGCGTGCTTCTTGCCTTTCTCTATCGGCCCTGCTTATCCCCGATTGCTACCATCACCACCCTGTTTACCCCGGATTGCCCACGGCGGGCGAAACAACACCTCGGATCGATTCAAACTCATGCTGACACAAGAACCATGGCAGCCGCAATCCGCAAACTGCGGAGCAATCCCCATTTCCTCTTCGTCCACCTGCCGCATATTCTCTCCTTCCTCTGCATCGTTGCAGGCGTCGTCTGGCTGCTCCTCCTTCCCCTCAACGATTACTCCCGCCAAACGTACATCTCCGAAAACGCGCTCTTACCTGGTCAGGTCCACGCATATTTCTCCGGCAGTGAACAGCACATCTTCCGGGGATACAAGAAGGAGCTAGAGGCGATCCTGGAGCGCCAGACGCCGAGTGAGCAAGACAGCAGAAACGACGAATTCACCCCGGCGTATGTTCATCTTCTCTGCCCAATAACCCTTTCCGCTCCGTTGAGAAAGGCCGTGTCTTGCTAATGGAGGTTTTCAATTCGAACTCAGTGTTTCCGATAAAGTCCAGTCGATCTTGCGAGCTGCAGGACTCAAAGTCGCGACGCAGAATTACGAGTACACTTCATCGGGCATCACCCATCAGGGGCAGAATGTCTACGCGATTATCCAAGCACCGCGGGGTGACGCTACTGAAGCCATTGTGCTTGTCGCGGCCTGGAGAACTGCCGATGACGAACTGAATCTGAATGGCGTAAGCCTTGCGCTGACGCTGGCGGGATACTTCAAACGTGCGTGATTGATTTTCCGGCTTCGTCCAGCGGAGCAGCAGCAGCAGCAGCAGCAGCAGCAGCAGCAGCAGACGTTTCCATCTTTGCTGACCGGGTTTGCGCCTTACAGGTTGGTCCTTATGGTCGAAGGATATCATCTTCGTGTTCCCACCGGATAGTAAATCGGGCACCCAGGCGTGGATTGACGCCTACCATGATATGCAACCGGCATTTGTGCAGCCGCTGCCATTGAAGAGCGGCGCGTTGCAGGGAGGCTTGGTCATTGAGTATCCCTTCGATCATCGGTTTGAATCACTTCATATTCTTTACGATGGTGTCAACGGCCAGTTGCCCAATCTGGACCTGTTCAACACGGCTGTATCGATTGCTGGTGGCCAAATGGGTATTGGTTCCAATTTGCAAGAAATGTGGGACCACAATGACAGCTATGAGATGCGGCTGCAGACGATTCTGCGAGGCATGGTCAAGCAGGGCTTCGGCTACGCGACGGGTGCGCATAGCAGTTTCATGCCATACCATATTGACGCCATCACGCTGCAGCCCAAGGGCGACGGTTGGCAGGATGAGATGGCATTGGGCCGTACCATCGAGGGTCTCTGTCGCAGTTTGAACAATCTCCTGGAGCATCTCCATCAGAGCTTCTTCTTCTACCTGCTCATGCAGACCAACCGCTTCGTCAGCATCGGCACCTATCTACCCAGTGCCATGCTGATTGCCGGAAACTTCACCATTATGGCTATTGCACTCTGGCTACGGACGGGATACTATATCGGCTCGGAGCAAACTGCCGTCAAGCTTCCAACAGTAAGCGCAGGAGAGACGAATAAGCAAGTGGCTGTTTCGACGGAGAAGTCCGGTGCGAATACCGCGCAGCAACCAGCCGTCAAAACCGACTCAAACAGCATCATCGAGCGACAACTTGCCCTGCCGCTCACCCTTGTCGTCGGCCTCCACCTCCTCGGTCTCATCCCTCTCTACATTTTCAATAACATCAACCACCAGGTTCGTGCCCGTCCGCTCCCCTTTATCCTCCACAAGACTTCACATGCTAACCGCAACCACAAGTACTACCCAACCGCAACCTACGCCAGCATCGCCATCAACGCCATCCTGCCCATCGCACTCGCAGCCTCCCTCACCCGCGGCCTGACGACCACCCCGCGGGAACAGTCGCAACAATCCCTGCTCATCAAATCGTTCTCGCTCCTCGTCCTCGGCCTCTTCCTCTCCACGCTCGCCACCCTCAACTTCTCCCTGTCCTTCATGATCGGTCTCCTCTGCACCCCGCTCAGCTTCGTCAACCGCATCGACCCGCGCACCGCCTCCCGCCCCCTGCGGGCCGTGCTCGCCGTCGCCGGCCTCGTCCTCCTGAACGTGCTGTCCCCGCCCGTCGTCCTTCTGGGGGCGTGCCGGTATGTCGGGGTCGACGTGGAGACGGTCCTCACGCAGGCGGCCTTCGGGTGGGACGTCTGGGGCATGTGGACCCAGGTGGTGGTCTGGTGTGTCTGGTGGCCCGCCTGGGTGACTGGGTGTGCTTTGTTGGGGTTCTCCCTGTTCTAGGGCTTTTTATTTCTGAAGGGTAGATAGAGCATCATACAGGTAGCTTTGCTTTACTTGCTCGTCTGCTTGAACGCTTTGTATAGTATAGTATAAATCTTTTTAGGGCTACTATGGAATTCCCTCTCTCGTCGTAGTTCTATGCGGTTCGGATTTTTCCTGGATATCTGTTATGGTGTCGGATTCAAGTGGGGAGGTGCCATTCCATACGCTTTGAAATATGGTAAGTGACATATGGAAAAAGTCTAGTACTTCGTACATGAACTGCAGATGATTTACTCTTCTCACTTTATGAGGGGGTTGGAGAGTAAATGATTGGGAGGGCATGAGAAACAGGTGGTGGGACATAACATGGTTGGTGTTGTGATGGTAGTGAAGTTAAGGTATCTGGTTCTAATGTTTGGAAATTATCTCATTTTATCAAGCCGCCCACACATCCTTGCCGACCCCCTCGATCCAGTGGCCCAGCTGGTTGACGCCGGCATCCCAGTCCTTGAGGCGGTTGCGCATGCCCTCGATCTGCTTCATGTCCAGGACCTTGGGCTGGACCCAGTGGATCTGGGCGACCTGGGCGACCTGGTCGATGGCGCCCCTGAGCAGGCCCAGCGAGAGGGCCTTCATGATCAGGTGCTCGATCTCCTGGGGCTTGACCTTGGTCTCGGCGGAGATGGCGGTGAAGGTCAGGTTGCGGTCGTGGGGCGGGCGGCGGAAGACCATCTCCGTCAGCGCGGAGAGCGAGATCTTCTGGTACAGGAAGAGGCGGTGCTGCTCCAGCAGCTGGTTCTTGGCGACGTTGCCGGCCAGCACGTCGTAGGCGGTCAGGTCCCCCCGGTTGAAGGCGAACAGCAGGTCGCGCAGCCAGCCGTGCGGCGTCGCGCTCAGCGAGTCCAGGATCGGGTGCAGCAGCAGCTCGCCGAAGTTGTAGATCGTCTCCGACACCAGCGCCGCCACGCTGAGGTTGTAGGCCCGCGACACCCGCTCCGCGTCGCTGAGGTCCTCCAGGTTGATGCACGCGAGGTAGAGGAGGGCGTTCTTGTAGAAGGAGGCGAATTCTTGTTTGGCCTGTCGTTTTGGGGGGAAGCTTTGTTAGTACATGGAATGTTGCTTATGCTCGGGGTGGAAGGGCTGGCGGGATGACGAGGGAGGTCCCTTACGTGGTAGTAGTCCGCGTTGACTTTGTAGAAGGAAGCGTGCACAACGGTCTCAACCGAGTCGAAGGTATCTAGCACTTTTTGGCAGACCTCCAGGTCCTTCTGTGCCCCGTCCAGGTCCTGTAGTCGTTGCTTGACGTTGGCGACGTCGGCGAGGGCGTAGATGTAAGCATCTTGGCTGTCGGGCTTGTTGACCTTGTCGGCCAGCGATGTGAGGAAAGAGAGGCGTTCTTTGTCATCTGTGTACGATCCGCCCAGGCTTGGTCAGTTTGGAGCTCTTCGGAAGCTACTGGGCCGCAGTTGAAACAGACCTGCACACTCCGTCGATGCCATCAACCCCAGCGAGACGAACTTGAGCTGGTTGATTCTGTCGGCGAAGCTGAGGACGAAGTTCTTGAATATCGGTAGTCGCTGGGGGCCGCTCTCTGGTAGCTGGAAGAATTCAATCAGGGAATCGGTAAGTTGGTGCCATAGCTTGCGCTCCCAGTAGTCTTCGAAGGTCAGGAACAAGGCCTGGCTCTGTTCGGGAGCTTGCTGGAGCTGGTCGGCGAGGAAATCGGTGATCCTTTGGTTCTCCATGATGGAACCGGGGGATGATGGGATGTGGGACAAGGGTAGGAGAGAGAATTCAAGAAATAATCAAGGGTCGTGAGAGGTGGGGGTACGTCAATCGGAGATGGGGAAGATAGAAGGAACCTGATCTGAAGGTGGCAGCGCAGCGGAGCTGAGGTGAACATCCGCCTTGATGCTCGGGCGGTGAGGCACATGACATCGATCCCCATCTACATCGTCATCATCATCAATTTCAGTAACAAACATCAAGCATGAATGTTTTCCGAAACTACTATCCGTCCTTGTACCCCGAACATACTTTGGCTCTTGGATTGTATAGCATCTCTTGGTATGGGTTAATGTTGATAACACTACTCGGATCGACCAATCCAGACTTGAGCCTCTACTAGAACCCCAGAATGGTAGCAATAAGTGTCCGATATCTCTCCGAGCAGCCCTCTGAGCCATCTACAACTAGGGTACCCAAAGCTTTTTTGGCTCAGAAAAAAAGGTATAAATAGGGGCATATTGTTCTCTTCGTAGAGGACTCTTTTGTAACAATCAATTGATCTATTTTCTCCTGTTATTTTCCAATCGTCCCAAGTTATTAATACCTCTGCCTTTGTACCATTGTCCAATCAATACCATCATCATGTCTGACTTCACCGAGAAAAATCGCCAGTACTTCGAGTAAGTGACAAGCTCCTGGGATGTCCAGGCAAGGTACTTATGCAATTTATAGCAAGATGGCTAGTACCTACAATGACGAATTCAAGGAATTCATTGAAAAGAATTGCGCAGAGGTCCTTAGCCGCCGTGCGTGGATCAGTGATACCTGGACCGACACCGAGTCTGGCCGGGGTAAGGAGATCAAAATGCTCGAGTATGCCTGCGGACCGGGTCCTATATCCATGGTAGCTTTCCAACCCTATCGCATCAGCTATATCAAAGAAACGAAGCTGACAACCCACAGACTCTAGCTCCCTTCGTAAGCAAGATCGTCGGCATGGATGTTTCAGATGGCATGATCAGCGAGTTCAACAAACATGCGAAGGAAGCGGGTTTAGCAGACAAGATGACTGGAGTCAAAGCTGATCTTCTCGCCGAGTCTGTATCGGAGGAACTGTCCGCAGATGAATACACCAATTTCGACCTTGTGGTGGTCAGCATGGCGCTGCACCACTTTGAGAATCCCGAGCTGGCCTTGGCGCGGTTGAGTGAGCGCCTCAAGAAAGGTGGTGTGCTTTTGGTCCTAGAGATCCTGGCAGAAGAGGGCCACCACGATCATCACGGCCATCACCATCACCACCACCACCATGACGAGCAGCATGATTCAGCTCACGGGAAGCTTGACTTTGGCGACGCCGAACACACAATCGGCAGCCATGGTTTCACACTAGAGCGGATCCAGCAGCTCTATGAAGAAGCCGGAGTAGGCCTGGGTTTTCAAAGCGAGGTGTTGGAGCATAAGATGGCGTTCAAGGTTCATAAGAAGCTGCCAAAAGCCCTATTCCTTGCTCGGGGACAGCGCTGCTGAACAATGTTCGTGATATAGTTGCAATTCAAAGAGTAATGAACCGAGTGTGATGCATGCTTTGCTTTCGCCAGTTTGGGTACTGTACGTTCGACACCAGACCAATAGGTAGTCTAAGTTGCGTCGTAGTAGATGCGCCATGACGCTGTAAGTCAGTCAACCAATCATATTTCGCGAATAGTCAGACGCGATCCGGCAGGAGATCAAGTGTTCGGGGTTAGGATTGAACATGGCAGGTGGTCGAATGAATAAATATTCGAGGCACTCGAGTAAGGCGACTGTAGGATCACAATCCTACATATTGACAGTCATTTCCAGAGCATTGTAGGCAACACGGAGGGAGATCGGACAATTGACAATTGAAGAAGGTGCAAATCGGCCAGGGAGTGGGCCGAAAAGGGACTAGCGCCAGAGTCCCGTGCCCGCTCCAAGGTTATTCTGGACAGCGACTTTCAACATCTACCAGCTGTGAGCACAAGTTCTGACGTCGAGCTTGGCTCTCTCCCCTCTACCACCCCATTGTCCATCGCCAACCACCGATCCGGACGCATACCGGTGGTCTCATCAGATTCGCAAGCAGAACTGAGACCATGCAGAGCTGCCGGGCCGCCAATTCCGCCATGGCCTCGAGGGCCTTCGTCCCCGCCCCTAGGGTTCAGTTCCAGGTCCAGCGCCGCAACCTCCAGGATGTTGCCATTACTCGGACTGGAAAGCCGATCTTGAAGGTCCAAGGTGGACGGTAAGAGCGCATGTACCGGGGTCATGGTCGTGGGATGATGCTAACTTTTGCCTGCCGCAGGTCGTCTCTGGGAGGTACTTCGCCCTCTGCTCGTTTCATTATCCGCTCGCGTCGGCGCCAGAAAGCTCATATCATCTAGGTCACACCGCCACTGTCTTCGGTGCTACTGGTTTCCTCGGTCGTTACATTGTCAACAAGCTCGGTAGGTTGGGCCCATGGTCGATTCGGAAGAGCTAGAGACTGACGCCGAGATAGCTCGTCAGGGATGCAGCGTTGTTGTCCCCTACCGTGAGGAGATGACGAAGAGACACTTGAAGGTCACTGGTGATCTCGGTCGGATTACTTTCATCGTATGACACCTTCGTTTCGAGCATGGTAATCGAGTCTCTAACTCGGCGGTCCGGCAGGAATACGATCTGCGCAACACTCAGTCCATTGAGGAGGCTGTGCGCCATTCTGATGTTGTCTACAACCTTGTTGGTCGCCAATATCCTACCAAGTTAGTATCATAAGTCTATCTTGAATGCGCCATACTAATCTCCACACAGGAACTTCACTTACAACGACGTTCACGTCGATGGAACGGAGCGCATTGTCGAGGCTGTTGCCAAGTACGATGTTGATCGCTTCATTCACGTCTCTTCCTACAACGCTAACCGGGACTCTCCCTCCGAGTTCTTCGCTACCAAGGTTCGTTTGTTGGGTGTATTTCCCGCTGGCGAATAGGTGCTAACTGCTGCAGGCCTGGGGTGAGGAGATTGCTCGCTCTATCTACCCTGAGACCACCATCGTCCGCCCCGCGCCCATGTTCGGTTTCGAGGACAACCTCCTTCACAAGCTCGCTCGTGCGACCAACGTCTTCACTTCCAACCACATGCAGGAGCGCTACTGGCCCGTGCACGTAAGTTGCTTTGAGCAAGTCATGATTTGAGCCGCGCTGACAATTCGCACAGGCCATTGATGTCGGCGCTGCCCTCGAGGCTATGCTGCACGATGACAGCACCGTCGGTCAGACGTTCGAGCTCTACGGCCCCAAGAACTACTCGACCGCCGAGATCGCGGAGCTGGTGGACAAGGAAATTGTCAAGCACCGCCGCCACGTGAACGTGCCCAAGGCCATCATGAAGCCCCTCGCCCACTACCTCAACAAGTATCTCTGGTGGCCCATCGGCTCAGCCGACGAGGTTGAGCGCGAGTTCATCGACCAGGTGATCGACCCCAACGCCAAGACCTTCAAGGATCTTGGAATCGAGCCTGCTGAGATCAGCAACCTGACCTTCCACTACTTGGTAAGTTTGTTCTTTCGTGAGGTGTGTGGACCACCGGCTAATTGTCGCAGCTTGGATACCGTAGCTCCTCCTACTACGATCTGCCTCCCGCGACGGAGCGGGAGAGACAGGAGGAGAAGAAGTACCTGCACGTTCTCGACGACCAGTAGTCTGTTTCTTTAGTGTACATACCATGCTAGACCCATTGATTTCCTTGTGTAGCTGCTTCAAGTCTTTTAAGAAGTGTCTATTAATTCAACATTCGTTATACACGCCTACGAACCCACGAGAACCAACACTACTACACATGCATTAGTATGAAATACTGGTGGTACCAGTAATAGTATGAGGATTAGGGAACCTCGGCCGGGGGCGCAAGCTCAGCTCAGCTCCGCTCCGCTCCGCACTCCGCACTCCTCCATCCATTAGAACCTGCCATTCTCTCCAATTGCACCTCACTCACCCAGAAACAGACCAGCAAGAAACCCAAGAACAATGGCCGAGCAAGACCCTCGCACCCCAATCCTCCTCCTCAAAACCCGCTCCACCCCGCACGACGGCTACGACGACTTCTTCACGAGCCAAAACTACAACCCCGCCTTCATCCCCGTGCTGGAGCACCACTTCCACACGACCAACCTCCAACGCGTCCACGACCTGCTCGTCTCGGGGGGCTTTCGCGCGGGCCATCCGAACCAGAAATACGGCGGCATCATCTTCACAAGTCAGCGGGCGGTGGAGGGGTTCGCCCACGTCCTCGAGGGCATCGATGGTATGTCTGGCCCATCACCACCACCACCGTCACCACCTACCTCTACATCCTACCTTCCCAGCCCTGCACCTCCCTCCCTATCCCCAAACACCACACCACACCTCACCTAACCCCAACCTAATCCACAACTCAACGCTAACATACCACTACCCACTCGACACAGACCCAGACCGAAGTCTAACCCCCCTCACCCTCCCCCTCTACACCGTCGGCCCCGCAACCCACCGCTCCCTCTCCGCCCTGACAACCACCTACCTCCCCAACGCCACCCTCCACGGCCAGGACACGGGCACCGGCGAGCTCCTCGCGCACTTCATCCTCTCGCATTATCCGACGTACACCATGGGCAACACCACAGGCAACACCACGGGCAACCCAGATGCGAACACCACACCCCCAAATCCCCCAAACCCAACCCCAACAATAAAACCCCTCCTCTTCCTCGTCGGCGAACAGCGCCGCGACATCATCCCCACGACCCTGATGGACCCGGCGCGGCGGCCCGACGCCCGCATCCCCGTGGAGGAGCTGGTGGTCTACGAGACCGGGGTGATGGCCGGGTTTGAGGAGGCGTTTGGGGCGCGGATTCGCGCGGAGCGGGATGCGTTCCAGCGCAAACAGCAGGACGAAGACGACGAGAAAGTGGTCTGGACGGTGGTGTTTTCGCCGACGGGGTGTGAGGCTATGGTCAGGGTTTTGGAGACGGTGGATGCTTCTTCGTCATCGTCGTCGTCGTCAGCGGTTCTGGGCGGTGGGTTGGAATCACAAAAGGAGGAAGGGGATTTAGGTCCAAAGGATTACAACAGAAAGTTCTTTGTCGCGACCATTGGTCCGACGACCAGGGATTATCTCAGGAATCGTGTCGGGTTTGAACCCGATGTCTGTGCGGAGAAGCCTAGTCCCGAGGGGGTCGGGAGGGGGATCCAGAAATTTATGGAGGAGTATAGGGCGGGGAAGAAATAGTCCAATAACTGAAAGCTGAGGTCGCTGTTTATGTACAGTTAGGAAGTAAGTGGAGTGCCTCAGGTAATTCTGCACCGCATATATACCCAAAGACGTTCTTGGAAAAAGTTCATCTTATGTACTGGTCTGCTTGTCAAGGCTACTCTGCTCGCATTATATCAAACAAGCTTAAATGCCCGAATCATCACATCAACTCCATCCATATTCCCTTCCCATAATGGCAGCATATCACTCAGGGTGGAACGCGCGAGCATTGTCCCTATCCTTTTCTTTCTATCCTTCCATGTTATTATGTGCTCGAATGAAACCCCACTGAACCTGAACAAACAGGCACTGCCTTGTTTAGTTCCCCCGTACTATGGTATCTTAGCCGCATTCATATGCTCGTCATTTCTTTACCGCATGATCTCCTCATATATCAGGACTGTGCACTAGGTTAGTAGAGCTCCACATAAGACGAAGTCTCTCAACTTACGCTTCAATTGCTCCTTGCTCAACGCATCCTTGTTCTTATCGAAATCAAAGAATCCCTCCGGAATCGGCGGTGCGGTGGGCTCATCCTCCGGGTCATGATACGGCTCCAGGTATGGATGGCGCAGCGCCTCCTCCACTGTGATTCGCTTGGCCGGGTTGAAGGCGAGGAGCTTTTCCAGCAGATCCAGGGCGAGGTCGTTGCTCTTGGGGAACATGGCGCGGAAGGGAATCTTCTTCTTGAATGGGAGAGATCGGATGTATTCGCGAGCCCGTCGGGACTTGATACCATAGTAGTCTTCCATGGTCGGCGTTCCGAGGACGTCAAGGATAAGGGTCAACTGGTGGTGGTCTATCTGTTGTCAGAATGGCCTGTCAATTGCCGCGCCGGTATTGTGGTACTCACAGTCCTTTCCAGGGAACAGGGGCTTCCCGCTCAGCATTTCAGCCAGGATACAGCCCACACTCCACACATCAATCGCCTTCGTGTACTCCTTGAACGTCAACATGATCTCCGGCGCACGATACCACCGTGTAGCCACATATTCCGTCATGAAACCCGAGTTGTCATCTGTCGATGCAGCAGACCGAGCCAAGCCGAAGTCACAGACTTTCAGGTCGCAGTTGGCATTAAGAAGAAGATTGGATGGTTTGAGATCACGGTGCAGAACGTTCGCCGAGTGCATGGCTTTCAGCGCGCGCAAGGTCTGGTAAATGAAGTATTGGCAATGGTCGTCGGAAAGGTCCTGAGTACGGATGACGCGGTGCATGTCTGTCTCCATCAATTCCTGGTTCGATCAGTCGCTGGGTTTCCATGTTGCATGACTTCTAAATTTACCTGGATCAGGTACACCTCGTTGAAGCTCTCATAATTCCGAGGCCGCTGGATATCCAAGATAGAGATAATGTTCTCGTGGTTGAAATACCGCAACAGCTTCATCTCACGTAGGGTTCGCAGACAGAACATGGAATGGTCGAATGGTGTGATCTTCTTGATGGCGACCTTCTGTCCGGAAGGCTTGTGGATCGCGGAGCTGAGGCCAATTAGTTGTCGGCTACGGCGCTCGGTTCATCTGACGAAACTCACCAGACAACACCATAGGCGCCCTCTCCGATGACATCTTGAATTTCATATTGATCTGAGACATTGAAGGAGATCTTGCGTGATCCTCCTTGAGGAGGCATTTGTTGCACCATGGTGACAGTTATGATAGGAATTCTAAGCAAAGGTCAGTTCATGCCGACCAAAGCAGGCGTTTTGTGTGATGAACCCCGCGCCAAGTGATAGTCCAACTCATCGCCGACTTGCCAGCCCAACGATGAGGAGGAGGACTGTGGCAGGCCAACAGCCCCTAAGCATCGCAGTGATGGTGGGCGTGGTTCGTCACATGCAGACAAGCAGCGGATCGCCCACGAGATAACGCCTAGGGCCCATCACACATTCAAGCAACAAACACATGGCATAGCGCTTACCAGAAGAAGCTGGGTTGGAGCGCAGTTGGAGCCTAATTACAACAAATCCGCATGCCAGGGTGTATGCGCTGGACGAGTGGCCGTTGTCGGGGAACCGTCGAAGATCGGGAGCGGGGTACAGCGCGTGCCTGCAATCAAACCGGAAAAGGAAGACGCACGCACGTTGGTGTGCAGAAGTTCCGAAGTAGCGTTGATTTTGAAAAGGAAATGGCGAAGGGATGCCAGGTAGGATCACGATCCAGGGGCGCGGAGGGTGATCAGAGGAACAAATAAACTGCTCACACGGCGCTTAGATCGATCCACGTCACTGCTGACGACCTGGACCACAGAAAGACGAACTGGTCAATTATCCACAACAGCGACAAAAAAGGAACGAAGACCGGGCCCTATTAAAGGTTCCTTGTAGAGGATCAAGAGAGAGGGCGAGAGAAAAAGGAGAAGCTTACCAGTGGTGAGGAGAGAATTGGGGTTACTGGTGCTGGGTGTCTCACAGGCCGGTTTCTATTTTTGGGACGGTTTGTCTTCCAGGTGTCTTCTGTCCTGGTTCTAGATCGACGACAGCGGTCAGTTTCGAGTTTCTTTTGACTAAGATACACATGAAGCGACAAAAAATAGAGGGAAAACCAACCCACGGCGTTTTGACGGAGAAGGGGGCAGCAGAGGGGGGAGGGGGGAGTGGGATAGTGGGATAGTGGATGGGGGTGTGGAATGACTAGGAAGTAGGAAGTAAGAGCAGGCGAGGGAAGGTAACGAACGACAGACAGACTAGCTAGCAGTTGGCGGGTGTTGTGGAGGGGTTGGAGAGAGAGAGAGAGAAAGACAGAGGCAGAGAGTGAGTGAGAGAAGAGCAAATAGTGGCAGTCGTGGAGGGGAACTAGTGTCCGTAGTGGGAAAGTTAATCACCCGCAAGTGGGGAGGCAGAATAAAGACTTGGATTCACCTTGAAGCAACAAATTGGATTTCCTAAGAATAGGAAAGTAGAGGAGTAGAAGAAGAAGATTGAATAGAATAGAGAGAGTTCAGTGGAAAGGAGGAGGAACCGAGGAAGAAGAAGAGGGAGAGGAGGAGGAGGGAGGAGGAGGGGAAGAGAGAGGGAGAGGGAGAGAGAGAGCGTGCGTGCGTGGGAAGTTGTGTACCTGAATCGCCGTGGAGCAATAATAAATGGGGGGGAGGGGAAGGTCAGTTATCGATACGGAGGCAGCAGATAAGACCGTGGACAGTTGAGGATAAAGATAGTAAGTAAGTAAGTAGCAGGTGACTGACACTGACAGCAATAGTCTGTTCCAACTAACGACACTTCTCAAAAATAATAATAATGATGATGATGATAATCCCCGTCGACAATCACAAGGGGGAGGCAACAATAAGAGTGATAATGAATGAGTCCCGATGAAAGAAGAACCTTGGTTGAAGAGACGGAGGGGCCGCTGCAGTGGAAATCACCACCGGGGGAAAGAAGTCTGTGTGGTACGGTTGGGGAGGGGAGGAGAGGGGACGGTTTTTGGTTCCTGATCCAGAAATGCTGCCATCATTATATCTAGTTACTCCGTAGTATCAACACCATCAAGTCTATCTCTTGTTCGAGCACCCTCAATGATTTGATTAAATCAAAGCAAATTATCTCATCAATCACAAACCAACATCATTTCACAGCGGATACAGCAGCCACTGAGCCACCACTAAGTTAACTGCCGTGACTCTGCAATAACCCCAAGCAGACAATGCAATCACCCCCTCAATAAGGCCGGGTCTGAATACCTCCCTTTGCGTGGAGAGAGCAAGCAATGAACCAACGCCCAACTCCAGCAGTCACAAGAAACAGACACCAGGAAAATGCGACCCTTTGCTTTTCCAAGAAAAAGCCAGTCCAGTCTCCGTTCCAACTTTCAGTTGAAGAGCTCCTCTTTCCATCCTGTCATCTCAAGGGCAACTGTCAATCCCCTCCCCAAACCCAAGAAACTACGTCTGGACCAGTGTTTCGTGTTTCAACCCGCCCACGAGACGCGATTCCATTCCTCCAGCCTCCAGCCCTCCCAGTCCCAACTTCCAAGTCCCAAAACCCGCCACGGGCGCCAATCTCTGGCCGTTTCACCGTCTCTCAGACTCCCCCCTCCCCCTTCTCTAGCAGTGGCCCACCACCACTACTGAAACCGGATTAGTCGACTAAGTACCTACAAAATCCCCACTCTTTCCTTTCCCTGGGCCCAGGGATCTTCTTGCCTTTCCGTCTCCGTACTGTGAGAGATGATCCATGAGATCCATCCATCACCCTGGCCTAGCCGCACAGATAGATTAGTACACTGGTCTTATTACTTTCTTCCAGGAGAGGAGAGGGAGGGGCAGTGCAGTGAGTGCTCTTTGGTCGCTCTGATTCCGTAGAGACCAGACCGAACGACCGACTACTGTGTGCTACTCGACTTGATCACAGCCCCGTTCATCAAATCATAGTCTTCAATTCGAAGTCGGGCCATCACCTTTCCATTTCTTCTTCTTCCCCCTCCCGCCCGCCCCCTTCATCCCGGGAGACGATCCATTAAATGCAGTCAGTTGGCTCGGAGGCTCGAATGTGATGACCGTCCGTCATACTTGCAGCCAGCTCTGGCACTTGTGTGATCTAAAGCTTACCGTGCATGGATGGGCTGACCTGACCAGTGACCACAGACCACAGGCATACACTCACAAAGTAACTCAGGGCCCATGCAGCCCAACAACGCCCTCCCTCACTTACTCGCCCAGGGTTAGCTACAGGACTAGCCAACCACCAAGCTCGTAACCCATGTCAAATCCTCGGATCACATTCGTATTTAGCGGTAAACTGGGGGGATGGTTGGTGAAGTTTAGCATCGTGACCAGCCTTATGAAACAGCCCGCAAATAACGAAAAAAAAAGGCTACAAAGTGTTGTACTGGACAATGCATAGCTTCAACGCCCATGTGGGCGGCACTTGATTAGCGAGCACATGGCTCGATGTGCCGGGGAAAAGAAAGGCGTCTGATCCATACACAACACCCGAACACACGCCCAACATCAACCACACGCTCCACGGAACTTTTGTA